ACTGTATTGTAGGGGTATATCCCAGGATTAATTTGACACTTTTCAGCTTTTTGGGATTTCTTTTTCTTTTTTAAATTCAATCTATCTTTGGCAATGAAGCTGATTTAGGAAAGAATCATTTATGTAACTAAAAGTCTAAATCTATCTCCCTCTGGCTCAACAGTATCTTCAGCAGTCAGGACCTACCTGTCTCTATTGTCCATCTGCCTGGCAGATGTCTGCAAGGGAAGCACCCCACTCCTTGGATGGTCTTTGAACAGCAACCAACGTGGTGGCAGCACAACTGAACAGTCTGCATAGCTCACACCCTTTGAATAGCCACAAAACAGTATCATTTTCCACACTGTAGCTTCAGCTTTTCAGTCTCACTGAGACTTCAGTAGCACCTTTTCTCTTAAAGATAATAAAAATCTCCTGGAAAGAAATGACTAGCTGCCCAGTGTATATACAATGTGTTGAATTATCACAAAGGGTAGTTAGTCTGCAGCTTTATAAATACACATACATTCATATACTTACAATCAAGAGACCTTGGCTGATGTTGGTTTTGAAAAGGGGAGAAAAATGTGTCTCACCTGTCAGAGTTTATATAGAACAAAAGAGAAGAAGAGGATCCAGCTAAGAAAGCACAAAGAGCCCATGAGCTTCTGTTTCCTTTCATTCAGTTTCACTTTAACTAGCGGACTGAGGCTGAACAATGAAATAGTTAAATATTCTGGATTAAACATTTATCTTAGAGCATTTGCTTTTTCACACATAAATTAAATTTTCTTGTTTAATCTCTGCTTTTCTTCTAATTATCTCTCTCCACACACACTAATGGCTCACAGCTAGCGTCTATCTTCAAGCAAGATGATTAGAAAATGTCTGTTGTTGTTGGGCTTGCTTGCTTTCTTTAATATTTTTCCTCCTGCAGCTGATATGCAGAAGTGGTTATAACAATATATATAAAAAGCAAGAATAGAGCCACAATTTAGGCACCTTCTCCTCGAATGGGACACAACTTACATTTTTGTATCACATTTTTACACATTCTTTAATATAAAAATTCCTGTGGTTTTTCCACCTCGACATGTATGATTGCTCTTTCATCTTGAACATTGATTTTTGTGTGTATGTGTAAGTAGTGTCTTAGAAAGGAATATCTGGTAAGACTTTATTACAAAGAAGCACAACTTCATTTCCTGTGCATTTTAAGTGTGTGGTTATGAAAATGGGGAAGAAATTAGAAAATTCAGACCAAAGGATGCAAACAGCATCTTTCTAGAAGCTACATGGCTAAGACCACAGGGGTGGATTGTGAAAGTTCCTTCTGTTAGTTGCGGTAAGCACAACTCTGCTCCCCTAATGAAAGACAGTCTCCAGCCCTAGGGTGGACATTGAAAAGCCTTCCTGGAGCACTTCTTTTTATACAGAAACACGTGTAAATACAGATGTAAATACAGATATATATGATAACAATATATATAGATAGTAATACAAAGCATCTTCATCACTGCCTTCTACTAGGAAGAATTGGATCTACCCAAGTGAACGCTGTTGCATATGGACTAAGTTCTCATTTACTGTTGGTGTGAAACTTTAAGTGATCATGTCCTTTAAGAAAGTGACAGCCTTAAAATCTCCAAGTGGACAGAGGTATAGATTGACAGATAGACAGCTACATCTATAAATTCATACTTACAAAAACATACACAACTTCTCTGCAAGGATGTGTACCCCTAAAGCTTGCTGTTAAGGGCATCATCCAAATGCCACTCAAACACCAACAGGCATGGGACATCGAACACCTCTCTAGGAAGCCTGTTCCATTGTATAATAATAAAATTATTTCAAAGCATAATAATATGCTTTAACTTTTGGGCAGCCCTGAACTGGTCACATAGTTGGACTATATGATCATTTTAGGTTCTGTTCTGTTCAGCTCTGATCTGTTCTGCTCTGGTTTTCTCTGTTCCGTTCTGTTCTGTACTGTACTGTTCTGTTCTGCTCTGCTCTGTACTGTTCTGTTGTTCTGCTCTGCTCTGCTCTGCTCTGTTCTATTCTGTTCTGCCAGAGAAGCTCTAAGTCTGACTACACAGAACAAACATTAGGATGCCCTGGAAAAAATAAATAGTACATAAGCTGCCATGTCTATATCACTGTGAAGTTTAATCCTGAGGTGTTTTTTCATCATTTCAAAAATATGTCTTTCAATTTACTTTTCTTCATATATATATATCATGTCACAAACAAGTACTTCTCACTTGCATTTGTGTTCTGCCACCACAGCTCATCAGAGCATTTGGCTATCATCTGGCTTAGAACATCTCCAGCCTTGCCAATTAATTGATGAAGAACCATTATGAGACAAATATATCATCTGCATTTTAACTGCTTGAATGGAAGGTTATTAAAGTAATAACTGCCAACATCAAAGCCATTAATAAAATATGGGCTGGGAATAGCAAATTACAAATTTCTGTACCTAGTTCCCAAAATAAATTTGCTCTTGAAGGTAGTTTTAGCACTCATGATGACACAGATGAACGATGCTGATTAAAAAGGAGTGAAGAAAAGATTATCACTTCAGCATAGAAACCACCAGCATCATTATCGGTCTCATATATATAAAAAGTGTTAAATTTTTCAGTGGCTTCATAGCCTTGCTGTGAAATTGCAGGTGTCACAGTGTAGTAGTAGTAGTCGAGCACAAGATAAGGAAAGAATGGAGATAAAGTAGGTTGGATCAAGAACAAAAGCTCACAAAACACAAGAAGAGATGATAGTTCTGTGGCTTTAAAGCAGGATCTTTGTGGGTTTCCTCTTATGAATGAAATAGTTGTATTGCTTTTGCTGGTGATGAGGTGTCCTTTACAACACGAACAGACACAATCACTTTGAAGGAGCCAACAGCTAGTTAATGAATAAAGATGTAAATTATCAAGAGTGCTTAATGTTGTTTTCACAACCCAAAGACATGAACAAGCTTCCTAGAGAGGGAATGAATAGGACACAGGGCTCAGAAGTACTGTCTGTGCCACATATTTGCAGGGAGACCGTAGGTGTGCCTCTTTCTTTCTCTATACTTTTCTCCCCTCTCCCACTCTCTCTGTCTTCTTTTCAATTTAAAATTTAAACTCTTTTCAGCAAGACTGGCTCTCAGTATGTGGTTTGTTCAGTCCCTTGCACAATGAGGCACCAATGTAATGCAAATCACTGTATTAAATATTCATACAAAAGCTTCATAGTGTGACTGCATGAAATCAGAACAATCAGGGAGCACGCATAATCTGACTGCCTAGGTAAGACGAAGCACGGAGATTTCGATTACAATTGCAGCCTCATTAGAGGAAGTGTGCTGACATAAGCTGTGTTTTCATTGTCGTAAGCCCAATTTCATAACCATGTATTAGAGTTATGAGTTCTCCTAGCAAGCCATAATGTTTTCACTTTTGGCTGTGCAATCACACATTGTTAGCTTAAGACATTTAAACTTTATAAATGGCTCTGTAATACGTGGTCTTTTCAGCTATAAAATTGTTCCTTAAAAAATAATGAGGCATTGGTCACCGGAGTCAATGTCACCTAACAGCAAATAAATTTTGGCAATAAATTAGAATTTAACTACATAACTGCAAGCAATTCCTTCAAGTAAGAATTAGTCATATATTTTCTTTCCATCCAATAAAAACATCACTAAAATGCTTGTTCTTGTTTCTATCTGATGCTTTGCTTCAGGAATGGTAAAGGATGTGTCCAGTAATGAATTATTTGCAGCAGTTTGCAGGACTCTACACTGTGAATTTTAGCTGGAATGCCTGGATTGATGCAGCCTGCTTAGGAAAGACTTCCTTACTCTATAACCCAGATAAGGAGACAAAAAACACATGCGGATGGCTTGTTAATGTGAAAATACACTGAGTAAAATCAAAGTCACACTCAATAAAAAGTGGGGGTTTTTGGCCCTTTATTGAATGATTGAGCCTGTCTCTGGATATATTATTTGTCTACTTAGCCCATGAGATGTTCAAGGGAGCTTTTATCTCCTGTTCATCATGAAGCACGCTTTTCTTGTAAATTATAGCTCTGGAAGCTCATTATTACTCGATACTTCCTTACTAAAACTGTTTCTTTTTAGAAGAAGAAAACACTGCTGGTGTCCATCACAATGAATTTATAGGCAGTAGAGTTTATAGAAATATATTTTTAGCCCAGTGGACACACTTGAAATCTCACGGATTTGATTTAGGATTTGCATTTTGCACTTCAGAGCTTTAGACTACAGGACTTCAGTGTGTACTCTAAAGGCAGACTTTGGACAATGTTTTCAGAAATGCCCAATAGCACACCTGAAGGACGATTGGGCAACAGACTTAACCCCAAAGCCAGCATTTACAGATTATCATCATTTCAAGAAATCACAGCAAGCTGTTATGTCTTTACTACTCTTATCTCCTTCTGGTGTTTGACAAGAAAAGAAATCCACATGTGGCACACTGCCTGCAGAGCCTCATGGGTGCAACTGCAGATGGGAACTAAAGCATAAGCAAAGCCAGTGGGGTTGTGTTGCCACCAGTATGATCAGGTAAGGATAAAAACCACTTAACCCCCCCCCCCATTCCTATCACAATTACGCATTAAATTTTAGAATGTTCAGAAACCTTGTCCACTGTAGGCATAAAAATGAAGCATCACTCAGAAGCATCCTCAAAGCTCAACTTCAGGAAGCCTAGTGAGATCTTAGTCACTCTGACCCCAGTTTAGAACAACTGAAAAGGGTGCTGGTGTGGAGTTACACTCCTGTGGCTTCCCCAGAGCTGCCCTTGCACTGGGGTGTTCACAATGAAGGCAGTGATCACTGGTTTTGGTGGCACTTACAGCAATATCAAAATGTATGGAAAGACTTTCTCAATTTCATTTCTTTGAAGGACTTGTAATTATTTATTTGATGAAGATAGTTCATAATGTTAGAACCATTACCATAGCCTCTAGGTACCTGTTTGTGTTACAATAATATCTAACTGCTTCAACCTTTGACCAAAGCTCCATGATACCAAAAGCTTCACCAGCTCCAGATTGCCACTATTTCCACACCAAAATCAAAATTCCACTCTATTTTTCCCCAGGCTATAAACACACAGACACATTTTTGTGAGAGAGCCCCTTGTTGATGACTGGAAGAAAGAGTTCATACATTATATCCACATCCAAAAAGGAGAGAAGGGCTGAGCAGGTCAAGGGTGCTTTTATGGGAGACCTTTATAGCCAAAATGGCAAAGTGGCCAGGAGAGAAAGCAGAGGTTAGATGTGGAAGGTAAGCACATTCCAGCTTTGCTGTTGGACTGAATATTGGCACGATACTGCAGAGCATGTCTCATTTCCCTTCCATCCACAGAGAGAAAATGCTGGCATACAGCATTGCCAGGAAAACCCTGATCTGGATCCAGGTAAGTCCACAAGTCTTGACAAAGCCAGAGATACGAGCTGGCTGATGCCCTGATCCTGTGGGCTTGGAGCACATACTCTCACCATACAGAACTAGGATATTTCTGCATTGATATCTTAAGGATTTTGAACTGACTGTACCAAAAGATATGCACGATTATATATATTTTTATATATACCGTCGGCAACTGTTGTTGCTACTGCAGGGTTCTGATTCAACGGCAACATGGGCATATTTCTTTAATAGGAGAGGTTGTTTTTTTCCCCCTGAGAACTTCATGTTCTGAGTGAGTTTATTCATGAACCTTGGAAACTTCATTAACATTCACTCTGAGCGAAAGAACAGCTTTGACTGCATCCACATTCATTGGATGTCTCACTCGATCCCATATGTTGCCCATCACACTGAGCACTCATTCCCCCCTTTGCTCCCAGTAAACAGAGATCAGGTTCTGGGAAGAACAACAATGTATCTTGAGAAAACAAACAATTTTTAGCTGCAAAGCCCCACGAATGTTTTGAGTGATAAAATGAAGACAGGACATTTACAACTACCTTCAGAAGAGCTCCTGTGACGCTGGCACTGGCACTATAAGGACTTAGAGTAGAATTTAATCATGTGGGGAAGTGTTTGTAGCATAACTTATCCTTGTAAATTCTGGGGTTTGCTTTTTAATCCACACTGTGTAACTTTCCCTTATGACTCACCTGTGAATTTCCCATCTTAAATACTGAAAGGAGATAAAAGAACAACCCAACACCCTAAAGTTCTTTAAGCTTTTTTTCCCCACACTAACTTGTACTTCAGAGCTATGCTTGAGGACTGACACTATATGTATAGTTTTGATACTTCTTGTACAAGACACATTTTTTCCATTGTATTCGTGCAATAAGAATCCATTAAACACATACCAAGGGCAGTTAGATATTATTGCAGCTATCAGATTTATTAATAGTTATCTTCACCAACCCATTTCACTACTTGTCACCACTTTCTTACACTGACCCTGCAGCTAAGAGAGAATAGCAAACCTAAGGGAAGATTTCTCCTTCAGAGGCAGAGCCATCACGATCACTTCCTTTTTTTATTTCCTTCTGTTTCCAAGTCTTAGTGTTTGTATATTTATAACATTCAACTGAAACCAGCTCTCTGGATTCCCAAGTTTTCCATGTTTGTTCTGATGAAATTAATACATTTTCTGCTCTGAATAGTTTGCTAGCTAATCATCTTTAAAATGTTTCCAGCTTCATAGCAATCTTAAATGAGCAATGTCAGTAAACACACACTGGAAGAACAACCTGTAAAGTATTCAGATATATCATTGTTACTCACTACAGTTTTACCCAAGTGTTTCTACAATGCCTAATTGCATTCCACTTACCCATAGTCACTATGGAAAAAAAAAAACAAAGCTAGACACATACAATCAAACACCCTACAATAATCCTCAGATAAATCATAATGGACCAAATCTTTTAAAAAGAAAATCAGCTTTTCAGTGATTCTGATTGTTGCTCCAATGTAAGTCTTCAGAGCTCTTCACATCTTCTACTTGAATTCCTTTTGATAGCTTTCCAAACCTGGCTTAATCACCCCATGAAGGTCACAAAAGCTAAAAGGGGTGGACATGACATAGAATGATGTCTATAAGGTGCCTGGATGAAACAAGCTATAAGGGTTTTGCATGAGTATCTAAAATAAGTGCAGTTCTTAGGCATTCTTCTCACAAATTAATAATAAATCTGCCATGGGTTATCATTTTAACTGAGAAGAGAGGGCTTAAAAAAAAACAAATACTGAAACTGTGCTTTCCTATCTGTTATTTTGAGGTAAAGCAGCTGCAGTAGTGGAAGAGGTCAGATAAAGCATATGAAAGTATGAAGAGTGCAACCTGGTAAGGACCTTCAAAGTCTGTGGACAGTAGCCAAACTGAAGCTGAGGAGTACACCAGTTGATGATTAATTCCAGTAAAACAAACTGAGCTACTCAGTGACATTCCTCATTTCCCACAGTTTTATGTTCTATTCCTAAGGCCTATGGAAAATCACCTGTGGCTGGAGTCAGCCAGCAGCTTCCTGCGGGCTTTCCAGCACAAGAAGCAGAGCACCCAAGACAATGTGGCTCCTGGGTACCAGCAGCTCATGCCCCAAAACCTATATTACTAAAGAGAAATCTCCTACTGGCTCCCAATCATATGCTTAACCACAGCATCCCATTTATAACTTCCATCCTTTCCCCAGAGCAGTGCAAAAAGTGTAAAGCTTGAAATGGTTTTTCTTTTGTCTTTTTTTCCTTTTTGATAGATAGCTGACAGCCGATGTTGCTCATTCACAGTAAATCGTAGCTGTCCCAAAGAGAGCACTCTGCCTCACCAGCCAGCTTTTTGTCAAGCATGAAAATCAGTCACCTTAGCAAAAGTATTTGTCACTTGTGCTTTGTTTTTCAGTTGCAGATGGGAAAATAGTTATTTCTGGTATTCCCATAGCTCCTGAAGGCCCCAGACAGCTCCAAGGCCACTTTGGGATGAGCTTACACTGTATTTTCAGACGCATTTTTTAGACACTGAGTTCTCAACATAAAAGAAGAAACAGCATGATGGAAATGGGAGCACTGGGTGGAACGATCACTTGCAGGGAGAGGAAGAGAGCTCTACCTTCCCAGCCTGGGCTTGGTGCCCTGCTCTGTGCATCACACAATTCAGCACCTAAAAACCCACCAGTGGTTTAAGGAAAGGTATCTGTGGGGCTGAATGAAGCAGGGAGAAAACACGGGGTCCCTCCTGCAGGATCCTGTCTACCCACAGTGGGGCAAGAGATGCTGGTGGAAGGGGACTGGGCAAAAGATTTTGCACATATGGACGGGGAGCAGCTGATATCCCCGGACAAGCCCCCAGAGGAGATGGATGGTTCGGTTGTCCTTGAGATTTGCTGCCTACTTGTCTGTCCCTCAAGCTCCCTGATAGATCTGGGTTTGAGTTATTGCTGTCAGCCCCTTGGATTAGGTTTCTGTCTGTTTTATAACTCTGTTTAGTATCAGCTTACTCAATATGTCTTTTATATCTCTAATGGTGAAATAAACCGTTATAAATTTACCCAAGAGATGACGGATACACTGCTCAGACATTCTTCTTGATGCAAAGAAACTGCTTTTAATTGTAACTTCTGGCACAGAAGGCCTTCCTCACTGCAGGTGATCTGCCTTTATACACAGAAACATTTGGTTTGTTTACTGTTACAGAGGAAAAATGTGAAGCTGATAGAAATGGTATAATTGAAATGTTTCCAAAGTCTTTGCAGCTACAGACAGGCTTCAGCACTGCTGCAGCAGCCACACCAGGACCAGATTCAGCTGCTTCTCCAGCCCATGACCAAGAGAATATCTACCTTTTAAGAGAGGTGGGCTGCAGCCACTCTATGTCCTCTGTCCCTTAACAACTCCTTCCCTGGTGATAGCAGAGATTTTACTGGTTTTATACCCCAGTATTTGTGTTGCCTCAGACTGACATCACAACAAGATCACCATCCTGAAAGCCAGACTAGAGAGTTTCAACAAAACTATGTTTTTAATGTTTCTTTATACCTTAAAGCTGACTGCTGAAAGATATTCCCCACAAATTCCCCCCTCTTCCGTCGCAGCAAGCTTAACAACATGAAACCTATGTGGTTCTGAAGCCTATAAGCTCCTGTCAGCTCCGTTTTTTCTTTCCAGTGAGGTAGGAAGCCTGGCAGCAGTGCCTTTGGTCTCACTGCTGAGGAGCAAGGACATTATGACCATTGCCTGGACGGGCACCACTGCAGGCTCGGATATTTCATACATAGAGCTGCAGAAGGCAGATAGCTGGAGCCCAGGTCCCCATGGCCACTTACATTTGTCATGTCATAAACTGAAAGGAAACATCAAATCAGAGATGTGAAGAATGAGAGATAAGCTGACATCTTCCAATATCAAGACCAGGAAAACAAGCCTCTGCACAAATAACTAGCTGGAGTTAACAGCTTTATATTGCATTCTGCTCTAAATGAACATGTTCATGCAGAAACTCCCATCAGCATGCCTCAGGACCTTTTCTGAAACTCAGTTCCTGAAAAGCATTAATTTTTCTCCTGTAGGCCCTCCAACTTACCAGTGATTTCTAAGGAGGAATTATAAATCTTCTGTGTATTAAACATTTGCTCTTCTCACTCCTGCTTGCTGTCAATAGATTGCATATTTATTTCATGGGTAGACCGTCCTGTGTCTTATGCTGCATTATTTTGGAGCCATTTATCATGCTGATTTTGCAATTTCAAGTAAAGTTCTGTTGAACCTTTCCTTTGACAGCCTAGCTTTCTCTGCGGTAAGCTTTATGGATATTTATTTTCCCAGGTCATATATGCAGTGAGCTGTGACATTAACTATTTGAATTATGACAGGTCCAGGAGACCTCATCTACCTGGTGCAAGGCCAGCAGTGTTCAAAATCCCTGCCATGGCATATACCTTAACCTAATTTCCTGCCATGTGATGGCAGGTATGTAGAATGAGCAGCTTACCTCTGTAGGTAAAATAACTCATTTTCTTTCCCAAAAGCTTTGGATAGACATACACCAAATTACAGATCTGCGTATCTTTGGGAGACCTTCACAAGGAAGTCAGTAGCAGGCCACAGGCCAGATGAATCCTCTTAGTGGATCAGAAACCAACCTTAGGTTATAGATGAGTTGTTTAATGCATGTTATGGTTACATGGGACTTGTATGATCAAGTGCAAACCCTAGGTACAATGACAGACGTATGTAGATGTAAGACTTGGTAGTTTGTAACAAAACAAGATCGTTCCACAAGATAAGCAACAAGGTCAATATACCAGCTCACTATATTCTCACAGCCAGTTCTCAGAGAAAGCAGGTTTCAACCCTTATTGCTACTGCTATACTCTGTTTTCCTTCCAGATGACAGTGTGAAGTGTCAAAAAGCTGAGTGATTTCTTCTGTTCCCTTCCAAGGAAACAGACCATTGTCCTGCCAGTTAATAAAGTGTAGCCACCTACGGAAAGCTGCCGCAGTCAGAACAAAGACTGATCACACTGTTAGAAGCACAGATCTCTAAGCCACAGACAATAATAATGTGTGACATGAGTACAACTCATTGTGTCTGATATTCAGCATTGTGGTCAAAATCCAGAGTGGTATCTATCCATATCTTTTCAAAGCTTCAGGTCCTTTGCTTTTCTCTGCTTAAGGTGCTTTCATGAAAGTATAGAATTTCCAAAACTGATTATTTTGGTGTTGAATGCATCAGAGCAGCATTGTCGAGATATCCACAGGTTGGTTTAGCTTTGATCTAGCTTCCTTCTCAGCATGACATATAAACAGTCACTGTGTACAAAGAACACTAATGGACTATAAGGATTTTGAAATGTTAAGTCATATAATTCTACTTATATTTAAATTCAGTAACTGTGATGGATTGGATAATATGTAGTAATTTATATTCTAAATTGAATGGGCAGGAGGCATCAAAAGAAGAGTTTAGATTGTGAAACTGCAACCCCTGTTTCTTTTTAATGTGAAAGATGGCTAGTACTGAAAACATCGTCTACTGATCAACTTCTCTGCTACCATTAGCTTCTCCATGAATATGAACGGAAGTTTATTTACCTATACCTTTTTCTCTCTTTCTGTTTTTAAAGAGACTTACAATGGAAATACTTATTGCTGGAAAATAGCTGCATTCTGAGGCTATATTCTATCATTTTATTGACACTGAATAGAATTCTCCAAGCATTCTTACTGAAACCAGGGGGATCACTCCTGAAGTAAAGAGATAGTGGTGAGAGAATATGAAACTTTAGCTCATTAAAATAGAAAGAAAACATGAATATTATTTTTATGACTTCCTGTTGCTTCAGCTTTATTATTATACTCATAACACTTGCAGAAGGTGCTTAGGTTTTAAGATAACTGTGGAGACCATCAAAATGACAAACACTAACAAAAGGTAAGAAAGGGAGTTATTAAAATATAATATTGAAACCCATATCTATTGACAGGCTGCTCAGAGCAGAGAATACATGGATCATTACATATTTCAATTCAAATTCCAAGGTTGAGATGTTTAATTTTTTTTTAATGGGCTGAAAGCAATAACATATCTTTAAGCAAAGAAGCTCAGTATTGCACATTATAGTGTAATAATATCAGGCTTTAAAAACTCACTTCCAAATAAATTAACAAAATGCAGAAACATTAAAAAAAGTTTAGGGAGACATCTTTTAGAGACTCTTTTAATTTGTTATGCAACTAAAGGCCTTTGGAAATGAACAGATACTCTTCACAAAGAGTTACATCCTGTCTTTCACTGTAGTAAAATTGGGAGTGATGCAAAATATTGGAGATTTTATTTCCTCTCTAAAGCAATGACAATTAGAATTTTACATATAAGATCAGATTGATTCTTGCAGTCTTGGAAAACAGTGATCATTATCTTTTTTAGGAATAGACTCTATTAATATTATGGAAAAATCTGATAATCACAGTTGTTATATAATTACTCTTGGTCATAGATACAATGGACAAGGCTTTCAAAAGTATCTACAGGATGTAGGACTGTAAGTCCTTGTGGCTTAACACCAAGTTTTGCCCTGATGATAAGCATTCTTGTTGCATTTTTAGGAATGCAGAATCAGAATCCTAAATTCGGCAAGTCTACGCCTACCTTTAGCCATATCAGTTAGATACAATAGAGCCTTCTGCTGTGCCTCAAAATGTGCTTTTTCAAGTAGAAAGAACTCTTCATCTTCATGGAAAATGATCTGAACTTCCAGGGTCACTTTGTGTAAGAGCCATCCAAACAAGCTTTCCTACTGTTACCATAACCTCAGCATGCTCCTTTGTAGAAACCTACCAGGCAGACATCTGCTGCCCATTTATCAGAACACAAGGACAGACCCTCTGCTTTTCCGCAGGCCAAAATCCCACCTGATGTTCCTTTATTCCAAAATGCTGTTACCAAGGCTAGAGAAAATCAAGGTAACACAGAATCCCAGCACACAGCCAGAAACTTCATCAAAGCACAGAGAGAAAGAGAAAAGGAAAAAAAAAACAATAATAATAAAAAACTTGGCATTTAGGTAGCAAGGTTTTCCAGAACTTACTGGGCAGACCTAATGTTCTTGGATGTGTCCAAGACAAGAGTCAAGGCAGAAAGCTAAGTGGCTTCACTACCCATCACCACACTTCTTGCAGAGCAGAAAACATACTTCAGCCAGCTAAAATGGGAATTTAATCAAGTACAGTCTAGAGCATCATTTACAGTAACACCCTGGCTCTTCTTAACACTAGCTCCAAAAGAGTTATCTTTCATACTAAGGCTGTGAAACAAACAAAGGGAAAAAAAGTGTTCTTTGATTTATAGAAACATGTAAAAGCCAGAACTTTTTTTTCAGTCAAAATCCAGAAACTTCTTCAATTTTAATAAAGATGACAATAAGTCCCTCCATGCCTTCTGAGGAAAAACAGAAAGAATCATTCAATTTACAAAAAAGCCCTCAACATCATCTAAATTTGGAGTTTCGCACTGTTATCTCACTCACATACTTTATTTCTCACCTGTTAAATTATACTTGCTGGGAACGCAGCCAAGGAACAACTGCTGGCATTGTCACTGTTGTAAGGAGCAACATTACCTATATTACTTAGAGAACACAGGAGGGTTGTGTGGGTTTTTCTTAAACTTGGAATGAAAAAACATCTTAGAAGCTATTAAAGAGAAGACAAATTAACTAGGAGCTTAATCTAATGCTTTGTTCTTTGGAAATGGCTAAATTTAATAACTGCGAAGAATTGTTATGGATGTTCAATATCTTGCACAAGAAAATATCAATCAAACAGATTATATCTCCCCACCACTCCCAACAACAAAGTGAGTGTTAGGAACACATCCCAAGGAGATGTGGCAGGCTGAAAGGGAAATACTAAACATTATCTAATACAGAATTCATTCTCTGAACATGGTTCAAAACAACTAAGTTAATTAAAACCTGTCCAAATATTACATGTCTGGAAGTGGAACAAAAAGGGCCTGATTTTGCTTGTGATTCAGCCTCTTTCTGCTGCTGTAATGACACAGAAGGCTAGGAGGGAGATGAAATGGCTTGCCTGCTCTGCCCAGGCTAGAGGAGATGTCAGTGCAGATGGGGTAACAGAGAGCAGCATTTCACCATACACCATGGGTACTCTGCAGCTCCGCAGGTGATTCATTGAGTTGCAGCCAGAAACAAACTTTGTGGCAAAACTTCTG